TTCGCGAATATGACCATCCAGTTTCGACGATCTTATTCCATACGAAAAATTGACTTTTATACAGGTCGTATTTTTGTCTCGCCCCCTCTTTTTTTTTCCTTTTTCTTTTTTTATCTTTTCGACTCGTTCCCAACGAACGATAATCCCGTAAGACGATTTATTTACAATTAAGGAATTGTGTAAGTTACGTGCAAGTGACGGCGTGTAAGCATGCGTCCTTTTCTTCTACAAATTAAGGTACTTACTTAAGGCCTCCGACTTAGATCCAATTATTTAAGATACTATAACTAATTGAAATTTTATTATCGAATCTTTTTTAATCGTTAGCTTCGTAACGTCTAAGCTATTTCTTTCCCTTTTCTTTCTGTACTATTTTTTTAATATATACGTGTAGATTTATCGTTGGAACGAAATCATGAGATAGATACGCGTAGAATTATTTAAGAATCGTGCTGCGAAATTTCGAGTAATTCCAGGGAGCTCTCGAAGGCTTCCGTATCTGCTTTTTTCAAGATCCGAGGCGTGTCAGTTCGGTTTAGCAATTAATTCCGATTAAATTTCATTGAACTGCGTCCGTCCCATCGTTCGAACAAGATTTTTCATAGGCGCGTTTAAATTCGTGTTCGCGTTGTAGCCAGACTTCCCGGAACGTTGGCTGAATGCTGGATACCTTCGCGAAGGCTGTGTTTAACCGTCTCGAAGTTGGCCAACACTCGTGATACATAGTATTTAAGTGTTTTTTATAGTAATTATTAAGGCCGTGATATAAGGATATAAATTTTGTACTGAAAATTGTAAGACAAATAGAGGGAGAGAGAGAGAGAGGAGAGAGAAATATTAACATAGTTAAACATTTTTGGTATTATTTTCTATATTTAAGTCTCCGGCATTTAGCAGATAAGCGCTACGATTAAGGACGTAACATAAGCTTTTCCTACTTGCACGTTACGTGACATAGTTTTTACACGGTTTATCTCTTCTTGCACGATACGTCCTCCTTTTCTTTCTGTTGTATTTTATTGTTGCATATCAGATGCCTTGTTTTAGAACGCACGAAGTCTGACGTCGGTGACATAGAAGTACTGCAGAATATCACTTGCGGCACATCTGTTTGAAGCTTAAGACGAACATAACTACACAAGCAGTTGATATCTTTAACTCGGCTAATGATATTCCAAAGTGTTAATGAAGTTTCTGATTTACGAAGAACCTGTAGAACGTTCATGTAGTTATTTTCACGAAACTTTAAGCTTAAAATTGACGCACCATAAGTACAATTTTGCGATAATTTTATGTCATGAAATCGTGTTAGACTCGTGTTTGAAAATCGGCGTGATACGCAACACGTAAAAACACGGAAAGTGTCATATTACTTCTACAAATTACATTTGTATTTTCGAAGATTCGATTTCCCACAACTTCTGGCATTATCGACCGATATCACCCGGAAGGTTTGTTCGCGTATCGGGTCGAATTCAATTAACCTCGCGTTCGGGTGAATCTATTCCATTAACTCGCGGTCTCTTTAATCCGTAATTTCATCTCGTGCCCGTAACCAGAATATTCTCCTTTACAGTCGCCTTTGAAGTTCCATAAGAAACTACGTCTCGATAATCGAAAAGGTTGACCAATATCCGGCTTTCCGAGCGTATTGTCTTCTCCGGTTCCTTATCGATGGTTAGAAACTTTTCGAGAGGATCAAAGGTTCACTCCCGAAAAACCAGCGAAATGACGTCCAGAATCCGAAGTAGATTTACGTTTCAATCGATGGACGTGAATTTCGCCCTTCGTTCTAGTTCGAAGCACGTCGGTGGTGCAGAGGTCACGTGTACGTTTCTGTTATCGGAGAAAATTTGCAGAGCGCGCAATTTCAGTTCTATTGTTTGGTTAACCAATTCGATCATCCGACGGGTCAGCAAAAATACGTCGGACGGGATCTTCTGCGATTACACGCTCCGCGTGCTCTCAATTATTACCACTCTCTCCCTGATGCGTCCTAGGGGTCGCGTCCTGGCACACAGTACTACGTTTTTTATACGATTGTAACAGGCACCGAATACGGATCCTCGAGACTAGAGAGCGTTCCTGCTGCCCCAGGAACCAACGACAACTACAGTGGCGGTGGTCCCCAAAGGGGTTACTCAGGATCCTCATCCAGCTCCAACAATTACCATCCCTACCGTCGCTAAAAAGGATTCGGACGAATCGAGTCCTCGCTGCCGATAGCGCGAGGTTTCGTTTCTTCCCTTCTTCTTAAATCATCGACACACGGTTATCGGTTTACTTAAAGACGTGATTGTTGTACCGTTGTTATACGCGAACACACCTATACTTTTTGTTCTCCGTATTGCGCCTGCGTACGCATGTGTGTTTGTGCGTGTATGAATCTGTGCGTGGATCGACGCCAGCCAGCGCTGCGCGTCGAGCTGATCGGATCGACTCGAAATTAAGTTTTTGTGTTTTTTCTCGTCTTTATCGAGAACTCGATCTGTCTCGATTCGAGTAAAAGAGGAAACGATCGGAGAGCAGAAGAGTTCTGAGTCGAAGGACCAAGCCCTTTTTTTTGGAGAAAGCAGGAAGAGGATATGGTGCTTCACGGTGCACCGCCATGCATCGGACCAATTTTTCTACAACGAAATGCAGGAAGATCTTCGACACGAGGTCGCGTCGCTCTCTCGCAAATTTTACATTTCTACGACTTTGAGAGACACGTATAACCGTCAGATACGTAGGGTAACTAGTGTATTTTCTAAAAATTCGTGCGTGGAAATGACCTCGATCGGAGTCGAAGCGAGAAATCTAACGCGTGGATACTGCGATCCTAGTTTTAAGAATCGTGCAAAACGTAATAATTCATTAATAATACGTTCACTAACATTTCGCCGTTCAACGATCAAGTACTTCACTAAGCAGCACGTAATCACGATTTTCTTTTACCACATACTTCTTTCATTTTTTCCCCAATTAATGACACGTTTATTTTATCAACGATAAGGTCCACATTTGTCCCTTTGAAATTTCTCCCGACGAACGCGGCACCACACACACGATGCTCATGAAATATTTTGTTTGGTTCCCTTTTAATTTAGTAGTCGCGACCGACGAGCAAAAACCAAAAAACGCGTTTGAAGAACGACAAAAAACCTAATCCTTTGTTTTTTTCAATTTCTGCCGTAGGAAGTTTATTTCCTAGACGTCCTGTTCATTTTTCCGAGTGGATGACGCGAGGCTTGTGGACTTGAGGTAAAAATACAGGAGACGCGCGTTTAGCCGCGGTCGTCGCTTAAACGAGCCGCGATCAGATTCAAGGAAATCCTATATTTTTTTCATAATCAAATAATCAGAAAGTCGGTCCTTTCTCCCTTATATATTCTTGTATGTTTCTTCTTTTTTCCTCTTGCGTTGCACCTGTATATTCATGTCGTGCCTGTTGTATACTACCTGCGTTTTTAGAGAAGTTCTTTCGACGATTTATACGATAATATATCGGGTACGTGGCTTTCGATTCGGATACAGACTTCAAAATTACCATTTACGCAATCGATTGCACGTTTTTTCGCGGCAATGAAACGTAGGTACAAAAATACGAGAAGTCAGGAGACAGCTCTTTCTTTTTAACGCGAGTCCCAGCTTTTTGTAATTTGTAAACAGACTGTTCAGACGAAACTTTGTTATCATATATGCGTGATTAACGATTTACGTTTGTATTGTCGTACACGGGAGCATCGTAAGCTTTGTTAAGGAAAATGGCAGTGCACGGGAAATAACTTTTGGTAAATTTTCAAGTTGACAATGTTTCGAATTTGAGAATTTAGGAACATGGGAATATGAGAATTTTGCCGTTTAATTTGGGAATTTGAGAATGTGAGGGTACAGAAATTTATGATTTATAAATTTATGAATGTGAGAATTTGTAAGTTTGTGAATTTGAAAATGAAGAAGGTTATTTCCCTAAGCTTCCGAGCCAAAGAAAGCGTACGTTGCACCTAGGTGTACCATGCGAGACTGTTGTAAATTCGGAAGATGGATTCGATGATCCGGGAAGTTGGGGTGCGATTATAACGCAAATACTGTGGTAATGATTCGTTGCGTGCGTCGTGTTCCTTCGAATCGAATGCATAATTTGCGAACGTTTGCGTTCCGTGATAGAAAAATAATAAATACGCAATCTCAATCTCCTTCTTGTCATCGTCGGCGCACGTACTTGTTCGCGATGGAATGAGACACTAATGGCCGCTCCCTACTTCGAGTGCCAGGAAACGCATGAATTAATGAATAGGGAAAGAAAATCGAACGATATTTTTAATTAGGCGTGTTGTACAATGATAACGATAATTTTGTCTATAGCGATTAATTGTAATGTTAAGGGTTAAGAAGTTGGACGGGAATTATTTTTTGATCGTACGGTTTGTACAATTCAGTGATAACGATGATGATAATGGACATTGTTGCCGTTGACGGCACTCGGGCCTTCTCGTTTCTACCATCGCCGCTCACACCTATTATTGATTAATATCATATGATAATGAAAGATGGTAATACCGTTCATAATATTTTTGTTATATATTGCGAGGGTGGAAGCAGCAAGAAATGCATTCTTTTATAGCATAGAAACCAACGAATTATTCCGTATGAATTAATAAACATTCACATTTTAATAGAAATATCGTTTAGGGTTCTTCCCCTCATTCAACCCTTTCGTTCATCCTTCATAATGGACTGACTCAAGGGACGAAGGTAAGCTCAGATTATATTTGTGGGGTTGGGATACAAGTTGCAAGTACTTCCGAACAGTTTCTCAATTGTAACTAGTCTCGAGACAAGGTAAGTTCGAATGAGCGCTTTGACTTCATAAGTGATATTCAAATTCCGTACGAAACTTGCAAATTCGTGAACGCGAGACTTGATCCCAACCCTAATATTTGAATAAATTAAATAACTAGATGTTCTAGTAGAATGATTTTATTATATTAAAATCAAATATTCATAGCGATAAGGTTGCTGAAAATTGAATTCGACTGAATATTTTCCACATTAGAATTTGTACCTCCTACTTGAGCATGAGTTACGAGAGAAGATATGTACACATTCAATTACGTATTTATTTAATTGTACATGATTCTCGGATATGTGGATTGTCTTTATCGAATCGTACGATTACTGAAAGCTTCGAGATACGTTTTCGTTCCTGACCATCGGCTAATCTACGTTTTATCACATCGAAAGCCCTGCAAAGCTTCGCTTCGACTTCGCTTACTCTAAGGTACGTATTTTTATATATTTTTAACAAAATATGAAATACTGACAAAATTCAAGGATCGAATTACAATTAACGAAACGAGACAGGACGGTTTATTTGATCGTGAAAATTGATAATTTCTCTTAATAAAGGCAAAACCGAGTTCAGATTAACTCTGAATCACTTATACAAAAAAGGTCGATCCACGTTAAATCAGACTCTACGATTTGTACGTAATTTCTCATTTTCTAATCAATGCCTTTCGGTTTCGCGACACATCGAAAGCTTTCGTTGATTCGTGTAACTCGTTGATTATTCCTCTCCTCTATACAATAATTACTCTATGAAACACGACTTCATAATATAACTTACTGTAAAAAAGGTAAGATGAGCATCTATAGAGATATGTCACAACGTGCCGCTAAAACTTTCTCTATGAAAGTCCCTTTCCCCGTCCTTCAAAGTTCTTATCCTTTAATCTCGCGCTTTTAAACGAAATGGCAACCCGGTAGATTTACGCGATGGAGCATTTATGGCATCTCTGTTTATTCGTCTTCATTTTCCCCTCTTTCTCCTGGTCCATGTGCTTGCGAACAGACTCTGTAATCATTTTCAGAAATCACTTCTCATCGACGTTCCACAGGAAACACCGCTGAAATGGCTTTTAACTTGTACGTACCCGCGATAGACTTTTTATCTACCGCAAACAGAGCATCACAGAGTTCTTTCGTTATAGGAATTTCAGGATTCAATCCCGAAGCCCATATCATCAGCATCCGGAAACCGTGTTCCTTGTAGCTCGAAGGACCTATAATAGGAGCTTTATCGTCCTTTTCATAAAGCTGCTCTCGGTTTACGCAGGAAACGTCAAGGTACAAAATAACCATCGTAGCTTTTCAACGAATATTCGATACTTTCTCATTCGAATTTCAAAGCGAAACGCAAATTAATTCAAGCAGATTATTTTACCCGTGTACTGATGCTCGATAGCTCGAATCTGATCCTGCGTGAAAGCCCAGTGCAGTGCCAGCTTCTTCCAGTCTTCGGGACCTAGTTGCTTATAGGCTAATTTCCAGAGAACCGATCGAACGTATTCCGGAAGACCGCTGGTGTTACTGGAGATACTTCCACCCCTCGATCCTTCGCGCCACCTTCTTCTTGCCGGGGTCAGATCCCTAATTTCCTTGTCGGTCGTCGAATCTTCCTGAAACGATCGAAGGGAGATAATTCGATACGTGGTAATTCGACACCGTCGTATTTCGAGTGGGAATTCGACTCTTGGCGCGTGGTCAATCAGTGTAGATAATTTGGCACGTGGAATATTCTGTGCGTGGTAATTTGAAACGTAGAAATTTTCCGTGTAGTAATTCGGGGCGTGAAAATTCGGTGCGTAAAAATTCGGCGCGTAGAAATTTTCAACGCATAGAAATTCGGAGTGTGGTAATTTGGATCGTGGAAATTCGACGCGTAGAAATTTTCAGCGCACGGAAATTTGGAGTGTGGTATTTTTGATCGTAGAAATTCGACGCGTAGAAATTCAATGCGTAAAATTTTCGGTGCATAGAAATTCAGTGCGTGGTAATTCGACGCGTAGAAATTTTCAACGCACAGAAATTTGGAGTGTGGTAATTTTTATCGTAGAAATTCGACGCGTAGAAATTCAGTACGTAGAAATTTTCGGTGCATAGAAATTCAGTGCGTGGTAATTCGACGCGTAGAAATTTTCAGCGCACAGATGTTTGGGGTGTGGTAATTTTGATCGTAGAAATTCGACGCGCAGAAATTCAGTGCGTAGAAATTTTCGGTGCATAGAAATTGAGTGCGTGGTAATTCGACACGTAGAAATTCAGCGTACGATAATACACTGTTCACTAATTCGATACCTAGTAATTAGACGCGTGGTGATTCAGAGTACAGAAATTCGAAGCGCGGTAATTGGACGCCTGGTAGTTCCATGCGTAACAATTCTGTTCATCGAAATATATCGCATACTAATTCATAGCATATCCGTGAATTGAATGCGTTAAAAATTGCCACGTTCAACGCGTGATAATTTGGTACACAATTACCTAAAAATTTAGGAATTTTCAATCTTCAACTACGTCGTTATCAAGTTAAAATTACCCCGGTTGCAAAGTGCTAATACCATGTCGGTCATTGAAAAAACATGATTCCGAGCGACGTAATCTTCGAGCGTAGTCTTTACACGGCCATAAAAAGTTGCTTGGAGTCACTTACCGGTGTGGGATAGTCCAATCTCGCTGTTTTAATGATCATGTCAACGATGGCCGTGAAACTACCCCTCGCCGCGATATAAAGTGGCGTTCTGCCGCTCTGCGAACATTTCGAACAACTTTGCTTTAACTTCGTTGCTGGTTCACCACGACGAGGACGCCAGTCGCGTCTCGATGCTCCTCGTTGAAGCAACGTCCTCGCAAATTTCACTGGGATCGTGCACGCTTGTCTGTGCAAACTTTGCACGAAGTCGTTGTTGACCCGTGTCAGCTTCCGTCGTAGTCGCGTTAAACCCGGGTTAACATGCACGGTACAAAGAGACGCCTACTTTGATTACGTTCAATCAGCTCGAAACGTTGCTATCCGATGGCAACGTACGGACTTTGGCAAACAAACTACGTGGAACGATACTTTCAAAACTAATTCTAGTTTGATGATCGTAACTCGAGAATAACAGATTTGTGGCGCAGCGCAGGTGTGAAATGCATTTTATCTCGATTACGTCGAAATCGAACGAGATCGCAAAATGTGCGCTTGCAGGTGACCCAGAAAGTCCTTGTCGTTTTAATCGATAGAGATAAATGGTTTTGTAAAGCTTTTTTTGCAAAGCGTATGCACGAGCAGAAAATCTAGGTAAAAACTTTCTTGGGTACCTAATGACACGTTTCATGGAATAGGTAGAGGAGTCATATTTTATGTCGACAGATACGTGAAAAATGTACGTCTTTGAAACAGCAGGAAAGGAAAGAGAAGGTGTACGATCAGTGTTCACCTGTTCCCTTTGCTCGATATTCGCACCTGCTGCAAGCAATAGCTCGCAAATATCCGTGTGTCCCATCTCGGCGGCGATATGAATGGGCGACTGTAGTCTCTGCAGAAGAAACGACGGATGAATAAAAATCCGACTAAGAGTATCGATTGTACGCACCGAATTCAAACAGTTCAAATCGACACCCTTATTGATCAGTATCTCGACCGTTTCTACTTCGTTGTTCTGGCAGGCCAAGTGCAAAGGCGTGTTCCCGTACTGTAAACCGAATAGTGGCCATGGTAAGTTGTTCGATTTCGAACATGGCTCGAGAATACCTTGCACTGTTTGTTGAGCGCGGCGCCATGTTGAATCATCGAGTCTAATATCCCTTTGCAGCCCTGACTCGCGGCGACGTGCAGCGGAGTGAAGCCCATCTACAAAACGCAAACAAGGTGGTCGATTTTTAATATATTTTGTAGTATCAGAATTTTCTTTGGGGTTATTTACTTCGTCAGTTATTTCGGTGTTCGCTCCGGCTTTTAGCAACAATTGAGCTATGGCTGTGTGCCTCGTTCTCGTGGCTACGTGTAGCGGGGTGTTTCCTTCGCTGTCCTGGGCGTCCACATTTGCTCCGAGCCCTATTAAAACCTCGACAGCTTCCAAATGCTCCTCTGCACAGGCACAGTGTATCGGTGTTTGTCCTTTCTGAAAATCGTTGGGAAATTTGCGAACTTTTTATGGCGTTAATTAGCTTCAAGCAGCGCCACATCATCGATCATGCAGGGAGACTTTCTTGTTGAATATAATTTTGGTGAGGAGCGACGTGTAACACCATTTTAAAGAACGAAAGTGTAATCGTCACCGAACACAGCGTCCAATAGCGAAGACACACTGTCGATTTTCTTAAACTCCAAAGGTGAATCGAATCGAATATCAGTGTCGGATATAAAGTGACTTTGTACGAAAAGTCAGATTCGGCAAAGAAACCGAAGTCCCATAAAATACCGTCAAAGGACTGTTTGATTCGTATAGCTACAGTTCACGTTCTCTCCTTCAGGAATTTCACTTGTCTTCGCGATAAGAAGGCAATATAGTTAATGTCAGAGACCCAGTTTCTCGGTATCTACATCGAGAGCGGAAAGGAAAGCCGTGGACCAGTTTCCGCATAAATTGAAGTTTCTTAGGTTCTTTGCATACGCTTTTCCGTGGATATTTGCATTCTCGTATCAAAATGAATTAATATGAATTTCGAGGCGCGTTACACAAACTATGAAATCAAGACGTAGTAATTTGTGGATGCAAAATCGCGAAGGAACCCGCACAAAACATTGATTTCCATTACAAGATTAATCGGAATATCATAAAGTGGAACACTGTTCTCGTTACGACTTCGTCCCACCAGTTTCCAACATTTTTCTTTTTTCTACTCGCGTCTACAGGGAAATAATGATGTCTCTTGGCTCTTACTTTATCCGTGGCATTCAGCTCGATCCTTGATATATTGGAGAGGGCGGTTATCATAGCCGGATGACCAGCACTGGCTGCATGATGAAGTGCAGTCGCACCAGTGCAATCCGTTGCATCCCCGTTCAACGATTCCACGGCCTCCGCAAGGTATTCGACGACACGAATGTTGTTGCCCCGAGCAGCGCACATTAAAAGGGTATGTTGTTTCTGTGGCAAACAAACACTGCCTTTGCAGTTCACGTTGTCGCGATGTTCACGCCTCTTTGTTTAGTAAAACTACTAACAAGTAAAACACTTCGAATGCAATCAAAATGTTTTAGTCGAAGTACGAGTTTTCCGATACAAAAAGAAATTCTGACTCTGTTTCGCGATATGAAATACGATTTCATATAGGGACAATTGAAAATTGTGTTTTGTAATAAAAATACCTTATTCATTGCCGACACGCTCGCTCCAGCGTTGATTAACATTTTCACGGCATCCCTGTGTCCATACCGCGCGGCCATGTGCAATGGACGCATACCGAACTTGAAACATCGCAAACAAATTTAATTACATTTTATCAAATTCATACACAATTTGTGCAGCGTGCTGCCACGAGTTTGTTTCCGGTTTCAATGAAATTTAATGCAAATCTCGGATAAAAGCGATCGATATAACATGCACGAAACCCAATATTAAAGTGTAGTTATTAGTCGAAATTAATATTGAATAAATGCACAAAATGATTCGTTTATTCTGGCATATAACACCTTCCAATTACCTTGTCTCTAGCTTCGATGTCACATTTCGCTTGTATCAGCATCTCGATGATCTCTGTGTTTCCTCTGGACGCAGCCCAATGAATCGGTGCTCTACCGTACTGCATAATTTTCACGTTTAATTAAACAAGAGCATTCTGTGCGTTTTAACCTATTCGGTCAGATTTACTGTTTCAGTAACGAATGCTTCAGTAAATTCAGACACATGCTGTCAGACAATGTATAACAATTATTGTTAACGATGATTCAGTTTCTTATTTTTAACCTTTAACGCAACAATAAGTAATACTTTCTAAGTCGTTTATGTTTAATTTATAGCATCCCTACCTAACGTGTTAAATTATTAAGGCGACTTGCACGAACGTACACTGGTGTTACATTTTTAATCAGTTTGTTCATAAATGCAAATTACAGCGTGTAGTATTACATCAGATGAATTGCTTAGAACGCAGAGGGTAGTATCGTTACTAGCGCGTGTTATTTCAGGAAAGAATCATGATGGTTCATAAATAATATCTTTCCTCTTCAATTATGCGAGTGTGGCTCATGTTATGTTTTAATTTAAAAGAAATTCAGATTTGTGGGCAATCGTTATCTCTCGCTTGATTCACTGCGAGTACCTTATTTATTTAAATTTCCACCGCAACGAAATTCCAAGTGAAATATCGCGTATTTAGTCGGACAAGGAGGCCGTTACGTGCCGCAACCGCATCACTTTATCTAGCACTTTTCATCGCGCTACGTACATTGTACAGCGTTACAGATAACGAAGTGTAGTAAAGTGAACGATTCCATTTGCAACGGAACCGTTCTCCTTTGTCGCGAGATTCGATTTTAAATCGAGAAATTGCATTGGAATTAAACGCGATGCGATTGCGGTCCCCCTTCTTCACGATTCTTTCCTCTCGTGATCGCGATTGTTCCATCGCAAACCCGTTAACAATTTATCAAGCTTGAAAATCCGATTTTCTTGTAGCTTACATTGTTCCTCGAGTTGACGTCGACGGTTTCTTTGAGCACCTTGCGAACGGTGTCCGCTTCATTCTTAATTACAGCTTCGTATAGCAAAAGATCGTTCTTAAGTACTGGCAAACAAAAAATCTTCAATGAATTCAAATGAGAAAGAACTTGTTTTCGATTAATTTGAATTTTTACTTCGACGCGACAAAAGAAGTGCCAGGAGGGTTGGGAAACTTACTTCTAGCAGTCTTTTGGTTCAACACTTCTCCCTCGATCGCCTCGTTGATATTCAAGGGTGAGGGTGTCTTTGTCAATTCCCCTTTGTCCACCATTTTTCCTCTATTGTTCTTTCCTCGTCTACATGTTTACTTTGTCCGTGTTATCGATAAATCTGTAAATTGAACACCGTAGGCTTTAGGTCTTTGGAACTTTCAGGCACTGCCGTTTCCAAACTTTAAACACTTGGGACTCTAGAACTTTAACGCTTTCGGAAATTGAGATCTTTGCGAGGTGGGAATTCTAGAAGATTAGGATCTTGATTTCACGACTCGAAATTTTTGACTTTTACTCCTTGCATCCCACAATTGCCAGATCCATTTCAGGATAAATCAACCCCGTAGCTTCTTTAAAATTAGGTTCTCGTTTGAACAAAAATCGATAAATGGCCGCACAGCAACTTGCGACATTCGACTCCGTAATTACCCTCATGATTTCCGTGCACGTTTCAGACAGGCCGAGATTATATTTATCACTTCACTTCGATGGCTCGATTCAATGGTCGTGCTCGAATCAATGGCGTTATTATGCACGGAATCCGACGCTCAATTTCGAAATTACCACGACAAGAGCATTTCGCTTTATTCGTGAATCGACAGCGGTTTATCGACAGGAGTTTGATAGATCGCGATCGAGCGCGACTAATATCGAAATAAACGGGAGCTTGGACTCTTTGGGAACACCGCGTTGCGTAGGTCTTTGTGAAACTTTACAAGAAAGTACAGAGTGTTTCACGAACCTGTACTTTCAAAACTGGAAATAACAGGAAGCGCTTGCATATTTAACGAAGATGAATGAGTCCGAAATAAATTACCATCAATTAATTTCTAACTGCAATAATTGATATTGCATTGAAATCGTTCAACTTAAACACAACACCCTGTACACCAAGCGTAAAATACACCGGTTCGAAATTTCGAGAGTTGCTCTCGTTTTAGGGATCACTCGCTTCCAAGTTCCGGCAAGCGATTCGTTTCAGAAGCGAACCGTAACGTTTCCAAGTTTTGCGAAACGATCCATCGAGAACTAGCTAACTTTTATAAAGCGGTGTACTCGAGTGTGTCCCAATTTTCCAAAAAGAAGTAATTTTTGCAGAAAGTAGCAGATTTTGTTAACAAGTTTCGCGCGTGACGTGGTCGTAAATTGCACAAATTCGTCTTTGAAGCGTTCACGAAAATTTCTCTAATTCCAGGCAGTGGGTAAACGCTTTAATTATATTCGTAATATAGTTACGAAGTTGAGTATTCTATTAGGAAATGTATTCGATGGATGCAGTCTCAAAGGCGTTTCCGACAGTATTCCTCTGTGCATGGTCAACATTGAAACTTATGATCCTCGAGGTACGGGTGTAATCCGTAAGCCAGAGGAAGTTCGCATGACAGCTCGTATAGCTCGAAGACAAATAAGTTTCGCGATGTCTGTTGAAGTCACCGTTCTTCATATAGAGAAACGATGAGGGTCTGTTTCGAACGCTCGCTTTACAGATATTTTTATCAAACGACTCTTTCGGCGTTATCTATCCCAACGTATTCCTCGCTGCTCGCAAAATAGGATCTACGTTCGTTCTTGACGGTAAAAAGTGTCGTCGGCAAAGCCAGAAAAAGAAGACTCGCTTTGAATATGTATATAAATATGAAACATTCCTCTTCCGGCTGAACGCAGGTTTTGTTCGTTTCGTTTTTCGCAAGAGGCATCGGATTAGTTTCAGAGAGGCACATCCGGGAAACGTGTTGAATGGAAAAAGCATAGCGTACCATCCGAACTTTCGGATCTATTTTCACGACGATCCTCTCGTGCAGAAAATATTTCGATCGTAGAAAATGTACAAAAATGCTGAACAACCTGAGCAGCGTGAAATCTACTGGCTCGGAATACAGACCGCAGACGTTGGACAGAATTGCGGATGGCAAAAAAATTCACCACGGTAGCAACAGCTTTAAATAGGAATTCTTTCTCTTCCTGCCTTCAGCAATTTTACCATTCAGGACGTTTACGATTGTTACAAGACGTGCCTCGAACGGTTAATCTTTCTCTAACGAGTCTCGTTAACGTTTCTTCCAATTTCTTTTCACCGGTGCGAATTCCTCGCAGAAAGATGCAAGATTCGTTTAAGGCGTTAAGATGTACGAGACATTTGTGATTGGCATTCTGAATTAAATGTAAGAAAATAACTGAGGGGAGGATTGAAACGAGAGGAGAGTTATTAATTTCTTGTGCGAAATAATGAGAAGTTGAAATTGAAAACAAGGGTGAGTAGATGTGATTACCTTGCCATATTTATTTCCACACATTGTGACTGTCACGCGTTGCAATTTCTATGCAATGAGATCGTCACGCTCTGTAATTTCTACATACCGTGTTTTTATACGTTGTAACTCCCACGAACTGTAATTCTGCACACAGCGAAGTCATATCAGAACATATCAAACGAGGAGGCGATCGCGCATGATATCGTTCGAAAAGTTTCAATTAAAAAATAAAAAAATCATACACCGAGCTATTGCGATACTGTATCGAGTAACTTTTCGAGCGTGTTTCAACTATAACGAAACACGTCCCTTTGAAATTCCTCAATCGAAATGTTCGCTGCTGAAGTCATGGGTCAAATGGATTCCTGTGAATGATGATCATGGCATAGTTCTGATCGTAACCGTGACTATATTCAGAGACGACATCGTTGAAATTCAAGCCGACTCCAACCCCGTGGGTCGTCCGCGTAGAATCCCGTAGGAAATTATTCGTTACATCGGATTATAACATCTGAATATAAAGACTCGCCATTGAAGTTCCGCTGAAATTCTACGCGATCGTGATTAATGACACAACGTTTCCGAACCAATTAAACCGATAACTAAATTACGGAAAGAAAGTTAGGTGGGCGTGTGCCAATTAAGGCAATCATCTACGATTGAAATTGCGACGGAATTATGTCATGTTCGCGGAGTTATATTTTTACCGTTACGCGATAATTATCGTATCGATTGGTACGATTATTCTTACACGACGAACGTCAAACAGGAAAGAACGAAACTCCCCGAGCCTTCGATTGACCTACAAATAACTAAAACGGGAACGGTGGGAATACGCCGTTCATGTATCCGTCGACCAATGCACGGAATTAGTGTATTTCTGAATCTTCAAAAATATTCTAGAAGATATTTAAACGACCAAGACATTTGAACATTTTAAATTCAAAGTTCGATCGATGCTATTTTTAATGCATGAATTGTTTCGCGTTTTCATCATTCGGAGGTATTTTACCCAGCTTCTCTGACGCGTCTGACCAGTTACGGCTGCATCTACTTGCCCGACACTCGAGGTTGCTGCAGCTTTTCAATTCATGATTCCTACGTATCTCCTACCTTTCTCATTTCTTTGTAGAAAGTATCTTCTTTGCAGAAAGTATATTTACGAATTTTATAAGATCAACCTTATCCTATTCCAATCATCCGCATTTTAAAAAAGGCAGAGAAAGAAAAAATTGAGAGAGATCCCATTATAATTTCCTGTCTTCCGCATTTTGTAAACAAGAGAATAAATTGAGAGAACAAACAAATGTAGTGAAATTGCGTTGTAAAATGTACACCTCGGTGTTATAAATCAGGACACCCGCGACAAAAGGTTAAATGGGTGAAGTGGTTTTTTATTTCACTAAATAAGCGGTTCATTTATCAAGCAGAATGAAAAAGTCGAATGTACAAATAAATGATTAAATAAAGGTACGCTGTTATTCGCGCGTATTTCACATGTCAGGAGACAGATTAAATTGGCACGTTCAAAGCGGAATCGTTGGCGAAAATGATTTTTGCGGAAACAGATCGCTAAGCCAGATAGTCGGTACGCTCCAATTAATGGAGCCGCGACTTCAGCGATTAATTAGAAGGTTTTCAGGCCGGCAGTGAATTTTATCAGCGGCGAATCAAGCGTTTAGCTCGTCGCTTTTGACTCGATGATGCGATAATCCGATGAAGCAACTTTGTAATTCTTGCCACGCTCCTCAACGTCGTTACCTGGAGAAAAGGCAACCACTTTTGGCTACTTTATCTCTTAAAATAAATTACACTAGGACGGATTCTGCCAAACTTAATGCGGCGTATTTTCCTTGTTCCGCAATAACATAGAATTTTCGAGGAAATAATGAAAACCCAATAGCCCGTTCCGCATATCTGCAGTACTCTTGTTATTCCACGTGGATTAAACGTTATCTCGAACATTAAAAATATTATTCCAGGAATATCCTGTTATTGCAAACAGTCAAATAACGTCGGTGAAAATAAGCTGTCATTAACAGGAATTTAAAGTGGTTTTTACGATTCCCTGAAAATATACCAAATGGCACAATTTTTATTTATTTCGAGATACGTTTTATGTTTTATCAAAAATTTTCCCTATGGATGAACATGAATAAGTAATCCTTGCAACAGTGTTTTTTAAATAAAACATGTAACTATTAATTAGTAATCGAAAAAGATAGAAAGTTGTAACCTAAATCGCGGCAGTGCGTTTTTGCGCTAACACTGCTAATAAAAACGTCAAAGGTTGGTGCAGCGATCGATAACGTTCAGGCTCGTAAGCTCCAAAAACCTTAACGAAAAAAAATGTTAAAAAATATCCGCACGTTCCGGCGAAATTTCTTTGTCTCCCGAGTGGATCAATGAGTTGCGCAAATAGAAGGGCGATCGTTTAACGAGCAGTTCCACAATGAGAAGTCAAGTAATTAGCGGTAACCGTCCCCTGTTTGCTTTCCTTTCTGTTCTACCGCCTACCGTCGTGAAAAATGGGTAACCCGTGATACCAACGGATAAAAAATGATCGTCGAGGCGACGACGCCTTCGTTAAAGCGACCAGCACACATTTCCCGGACGCTTTTGTCCTGGAAATGAAAACGAGGGAACGTTGCGCCGTGTCAATGATAATCTTTTTTCCTATTCTCATCGGACCAGCCATTTTTGCTTTCCTCCGTCGCTGACGACAATGCGGACTTGACAGAAATCATGGAAAAGTTGCCGCGATCGATGTTTCTGTTTGTAATAAACTTTCGGATCAGTGAATAATCAAATTTTCGTTTCAACGACAGTTTCCGGCAATGAACAAAGTGCCGCGAGCCTTTGCGGG